GGACGCCGCACCCCCAGCCGCGGTTAGTACCCACGTGAAGGGAAAGCACGAGCGGCGTTGTACCTCTCGGGACAAGCCCGACGCGACGGCGGCGTCTCGGCCACCGTTTCGGAGGCAGCCCGGGTGCGTCGGGCCCCGGCCGTCGCCCACCGGCACCTGCGCCGCGTGCTCCCCGTGCACCTGAAGCACGGCGCACGCGCGTGCACGGCTGCCCCGCGCCTCGCTCCTCTGTGCCAATAAAGAAGAAAGGCAGGGATGAGGATTGTTGCTATTGATCTGCCCAAGGGGATCATTAGGCATCAGTATCAATCTACAAATCAGTGGGCCTGTGTTACTTGCTTGGGCAGTCATTGCCAATTTGTTCCTATTAGATGGCCGAGCCCGGAGGTGTTTGATGAGCAGATTGGGTCTTTATCTCGGCGCTGGAGAGCAGGCAGGCTCGCGGGGAGACACTGGAGCTTTACAGGATTTCTGGTGTTTGTTTGTTTTCTTTTGCTGAAATCCGGCTGCCTTTTTACTGCTCTGTAAAGAATTTTGTGCGGGCCGAATATGCTTTTGCTTTATATATGGTTTTTCATACCATCCTATTAAACATATTGAGAGTTAAGGAGAAAGTATTTTAGAATAATCCCCTCTCTTTTATTCGGTATGTTTACCAGCAGCACTCCCTATAAAAATACATATTCATGCCAGATTCTTTTGTTATCCTTTCCAGGTCAGACCGAACATTAGGAACGCAAACAATTTTTCTTTTGCTATCCCAGTGCCCCTTCCTTGGGATTTATTTAGTTGCTGCTGGTGAGGTGACCGTTCTTGCAGTATTTTCCCCTGTGATTTAATTAAACAAGCCAAAAATTAAAGCTTGCAGACCATATTTTATTTGAAAGCGTTACCTACATTTTTGTTCTGAAACGGTAGCCCCAGCTTTTTTTGCAGATACCCACTGGCTAGCAGTCCTGTTCTGAGGGTGGCTGTACTGCCTGTCTGAGAACAGTCTGTCTCATCTGCATATTTACTTATTTTGTATTTTTTAATGCTATGCAAAACGAAACAGCAACAAAATTGTACCATAACAGGAGGACGTAAATTAATGGCAAAAGACGGATTAAAACAGTTCATACGAATGATCTGATCTGACATCAATGCCTTGTTATTTAATGCAAACCTTGATTTTCAACTGTTTCGTCTCACTCCTGACACAAGCATCGTGCAGTTTAAACATCTGTCCAGCCGTTAAAGACCCTATTGATGCTTGGTTATTGGATTTCTAATTTTCAGGTTTTGTCAGTGGGTTTAACAGACTATATGAGTGTTTATAATTTCTAATGAGTTTAGTCTGTAATTTGCGTCCATTACCTGTGACTGTCAAATCACTTTCCCAGTACTCGGTCTGTAAAAATTCAAAATAAAGAAATGCGGATTTCTAAATAACCTAAAATATTTGTCATATCTTTTATATACAAATGTATGTGCAGTAAACAGAACTATACATTCTTATTCTGTTTGAAGATCAAGACTGATTTTAATCCCGCATATCTGCTGCAATCACAATATATTACCCAAACCCAAGTTTCTTTGAGGACTTTTTGGATATATGTCATTATTTCAATGGAGATAAAATAGTGTATGTTTTAGGATACTGCAAGGCTGATTATTGCTGCCTGATTAGTATTTGATCAAATTCTATCTTTTTTTTTTTTTTTGTCCCTGAGACAATTCAGCTCCTCCACACGCAGAGGCGAATTCGCCTCATTCTGTCTGACAAGTGTTTTGTTGTGGAGCGGTCGATCATATCTGTGTAAACATGCATCTGCTGGTGGATAGGGTTGGAAGCAGAACACTTTTAATTTATCATAAACTTCATATAACTCATTAGCTTTCATCTTTACATTGCATGTATAGAAATGAATTTGGAGTGTACTCAGAGAGAGGCTTTTTTCTGAGGAGTTTGCTGTACAAATATTTATGGACCTTTTGCTTTGTAGTACAGATTCCAGTGGAAATAGCTATCATGCGATTAACAGCAGATTGCAACTTAAGGAAGAGGTTGCCAAAAGCTATTGTTTATTTAGTCGCGTGGCATTTTGTATTGAAATTTCTTTTGCTACTATTTGTAAAAATTCACGACTCTCTTGGGAGGAGAAATCAGGATTTTTTTCCTATACTCCGGAAAAAAAAAAGGGGGGGGGGAAAAGCCCCCTTGAAAATTAGATATAAGTATGTTTGTAGGTATGAGCATAACTTTGTAATCACGGCATATTCTGCGTATTTTCAGTGAAGAAGGCTTCTTGTTGCCCGTTCAGAAAAACACACATATGGAGATTTTATTGTGGTTTTTGTTTTAAAGATAATAATTTGTCTCTGAGTTCCAGTTGTTTATGTTTCTGTCTATATCTCTTTCCTCTCCCCTGTTTTATTTAGTAAGGTTTCATCTGTGAAATTTCTCCATGAAACAATTGATACATTCTCAGCACGCTGCGGCGAGGGAAAAAAAGCCCTTAGATTAATGGTCAGTGTCTCATACACACAAATTTGTGTTACGATACTACCGAGAAGCTGCGAATTACTGACAAGATCTAGAATAATTCCTAATGCTGTCGAAGGCTTCATTTTCTCCTCCGCATGATGGATGAGGCATAAGAAGTGCTTTCTGAGATCGTTAATGTGCATCATTCTGTTAAGTGTTATTAAAGTCCGTCTGTCTTAGGCAGCAGAAACAATATCTTATCCCTTATTTTGCCTCTCTCTTCGCTAAACTGTAACTGCAGCCCCTGTCTTTTACTAATGTGGCCTTTTGTTGGTGCTCTTCTTTTAATGGCTAGTTTATACCACGGCATTTAGGTGGGGTTTAGGATTGTATTTTTCCTTTTAGGCAAAATATTGGCTTGTGGCATGGGAAGGAACACCCAATTTCAAGATTATACTCTCTGTAACCTGTAGATAATAACAAAGCCGCGGAGGATCCATACCGAGCGTTACACTGAAGCTTAGAAAATAGGATTGAACTTTTCTTCGGAGGCTGTGCCTGCGAGAAGGAGCCGGTCTGGCCGCGCAGCCCTGTCCGCTGCGGCTGAGCCGAGCGGGCTGCCTTCGCCCGGCGCCTTCTCCGCCGGATCCCGCTCCGGGGAGTGACGCCGGGGGTGTGAAATAACACCTGGGAGCGCACGCGGCCACTCGTCTTCCGCCCGATTAATTGTTCAAAAATCCGGGAATCGCTGTCCGAATCGAGAGCAAGCGTGATGTCTGGCTGGGAGGGAAGTTAGGACAGAGACGGTGTTACAGGCGACCGAAACTTGTTCTCTTTGGGCAGCAGGAGCTGCCCCGTGCCCTGGTCCTCCGGGCATCGCGCCGTTCCCTGGAGCACTGCCCGCCCCGGGCCCGGGGGGTAGGCCAGGTACAGATTGCAGATGGATCATATTAAAGCAAAAGTACTTCTAACCAAACAGAAGAATTCACTTTAAAGGTTTTTAACCTTTCTTAAGAGCCAATTTTTCCTTAAGCCCTGTGATAATAAAATACAATATAATTTATAGAGCGCTTTCCATGGGTATGCATTCCTCTTCTTTTTCTTCCCTTTTTTTTTTTTTTTTGTACAGTCAGATAAAACATATCCAACAACTGGGATGATAATCAAGAAAAAACAAAAAGCAACTGATCATAAAGCCATTTAGAAATGTAACATTCCTTTTAAAAGAGACTCAGACATACTTGGAAAGCCTCACTTATATACTTTTAATAGAATTATAGAAGTGTGATGCACAGCTGGTAAAAGCTCAGTCATCCACAGCACAGCTAGTTTTTGAGTATTTAATTTTATATTTGAATAATTCTCCAGATCAGGCTATAATCATGAATGTCATATAAAAAGATTTTTTTCATAAATTACATTATTTCACAGATGTGCAAATACTTCTGTGAAAAAAATTACATTGATCAGTTTTTAATACCCCCCTGTCTCACCCTTCAGTCAAAAGAAAAAATAGCTTTTTTCCCATCTTTGTCTTCAGAAAGGTGCTAGATTGTAAACATCTGAAGGAAATGAAAGGGGGTTGGCCAGTCCACCCCAAATTCTTTCCAGATTTTCATTCCTTTCACCAGCAGCCTTCTGTTCTTAGAGGAGAGGGAGGAACAGCAGAAGAAAGAGAGAGAGAGAAGATGTCTCTGTTTCTTATTAAAATTTAAAGTGAAAAGCAGTGCTGCATTTTGCTAATTTTCAATCTGCTAATTCGGAAGGCGTTTAGCAGGGAGAAGCGGCGCCGTGGGGAAGCGGGGTTCGGCAGCGGGCGTTGGGCGGTTTTGCACGATAAACCCTTGCAGGCAATTGAGAGCCGCCTCGGAGGGGAAGGCAGCAAGGCACAGCCACCCCCGTCCTGACGTTGCTTGGCTTCCGAAAGAAGAGCTCGCGCTAACCGCACTTCTTTTAAATCAGAAGTTTGTAAACCGGTGTTTATTTTTCTAATAACGAAGCGACTCTTTGAGCAAGGGTAAACTTCGCAGCAGGGCCCGTGCTCTGCCCGGCCGCTGCTTAGGTTGCACCTCGTTGCCCCGCCACCGCCGAGGGATGCCCGCGGGCCAAGAGCCCGGCGGGGGCTGGGGCCGGGGTCCCCTCCCCGGGCGCTGCCGCAGCCCCCCGGGGCCGGCTGGGGAGCAGGTGCCTGGCACCGGCGCTGCCCTTCCATTCCAACGGCTGAGCGCCGTGCTCCTGGTCCGGTCGAAAGGTTTAATTGAGGCACAGGTAATTACGCAAAGCGTATTGCTACGTGCAGAGGATCTGATTCTATTGTATGTTGTCGTGAATGGAAAAGTTTGTCCTAACGTTTAATTCGGGGATGACAATTAAGATAAATGCCTATTTCCAAGCCCTCTCATCCCAAATACTATTAAGTTACACTTTTAAGTGAAAGGAAGGCTAAAAATAACTTTATAAAAAGTAAAACAAGGTGTCGCACCCCGACTGTTTGCTCTTAAATCATAGTTGCCTGCTTGTTTTTCAGGAAATTTAAGTACCAGATGCACTTGGAGAAAGCAAGCTAAACATCAGAGTTTATTTTCAATATGCAAGTGGTATAAAAATATGCAAACGCTGATCACAGCGCTATGGAAACTACTCCACAAAAATGTGGAACGAAAGCTGTTACTGTAAGTGTGGTTCATGTATTGTAACAGCTGTGACAGCCCGGTGCAGCTCAACACTTGTTCAATTATAAGAAAACATTCAAAAGGAAACTTGATTTAAATAAGATTTGTAATAATCTTTCACATTTACAAAATAAACCAGTGACAAACGCTGTCCTCCCGCATGGTTCGCCCAGATTTGGCCTTGGCGTTGGCTCGGGCGACGGATGCGTTTCTCCCCCCTCTTGCCAGATCCAAAAGCATTTTTCAGGGCTTGTGTTACAGTTATTTGCAGATTATTTTAGGTCTGTGTTCTTTTATATCCACTTAGCAACTTGCAAGGAATATTTCAGGAGCAGACCATACTTGACATGCATCCTTTTTGGGGAGCAGGAGGAATGGGTGTGGTGGATTTAAAAGCGATTATATGTTTATGACAGATGGTTTTCAGTTTATGCAAGAAAGCCCATATAGACACTAGCGCAGAGACAACCGTTCGTGGAATTTGGACACGTATCATTAGGCTCTTTCTGTTAATCAAATGCAAGAAATATAGTAAATTTATTTTTATACGTGACCTGTGGAACAAATATGGCCAACAGGTATTAAACATAATAGGTCTTAAAAGGAACAATTATATTTTCTGTTTAACTTTTCTGATTTGTTACAAATTGTATCGATTTTCAAGGTTTTAAGAATACTAACGATTAAAATCATCCTACCGCATAAATTTTAGTTATTTACTATAGTTTGTAAGTATCATGCAATGACCTTTTTCTGGCTTCATAAAATCAGTGACTTAATATAATTTGGGATCTGAGAGTGTAAGTTCTTCGATTCATTTATCATTTTATGCTGAAATTTGTTTAGTCTAGATAGAAGTCCTACTCTACTTTTCCTACTAGCCATATATGCTTTGTACATTGGAAACTCAAAGACCTTTCTGTCTTTTCTTTTTCTTTTATGCTTGACCAAAAATAGTCATTATAGACTTCTTCATAAAACCCCAGACTTTATAAATAAAGGCTGTTGACTGACTCTGATGGGAGTTCCATGCACAGAACGAAAACAGCGTATGGCCCATATTACTAATTTTTCAGGATTGCAAAGTGTGTTAATGTGTAATACCTGTTGAATTAGTGGTAGGTTTTAACTGTATCCCAGGCAACTCCTTTATGAATGTAATTAAATACATAGTTTTAATAGCTTCAAGGGGAATTAAGTTCTGAATTGTTATATAAAGAATGTTTATAAATATATATAGATAGATTATATAAATAGCTGAAAGCAGAAGCCTATACAATAATTTATTTTAAAAATTCTTCTGTAGTCAGTATGAGTGATTTCAAATGGGATCCGAGAATCTCCAAGCTGAAGCTCTCATCTTCTAAGGAATTTCAGTTACCTGGAATAAAATGTTGCCTTAGAAATTATTGACGTAATAGTCCCCTTGGGAACCCCATAGCAGTCAAAGCGAAATCCAACAATAAATCCAGGGGCCACCTGGATAACTACCATTAAAGGCTTTTTTTCAGTGGAAAAAACTCTTTAAAAGCTTAATTCTTCCTAAATGTAAAGTTCAGTGATCATGTTTCTGTATAACTTTCATAGTTAGGTGTTTTACTTTACTTTGTTTAAACAACTTTTCAAAGCATCTTTGACAGTGAAAATAATACCCTGTTTTTCTCCTTGATGCCATGGCTAACTTACCCCTATGTAAGCAAACCCTTCGGAGCCGAGTCGATGCAGGTTTTTGAGCATAGCTAACCTCGGCAGTGCTAATAACTCAAATCAGTTTGCAATGACTATTGGAACCAAACGGCATGAGAACAGATAAAGAACTGTGCTTTGCATTTGTTAAATCGTTATAAATCAAACCTTGCTCAGGTGCTAATCCCGCGCAGCGCCCGTGGCACAGAGACCCCCTCCCCATTGGCGTCCTCCCCGGGAAGGGCGTCTGTGTCTTGGCCTCTGCCGAAACCCGGGGCAGATCGGTCGGTGCGACTGTGACCGAGCTGTGCGCCTCACGCAGAAATCCCATTGAGGGCAATTGAATTTTGAGCAGAAAGGGGAGGTAGAATGTGCCTGAAAAAATTGAAAAGAGCAAAACTGATAGACTTAACAGCTGGTAGACTTTGGCACCGGGGGGCTGGTAAAAGGTTCGACCACTTAGAACTGTTATTTTCCTTGCTTGCTGCTGTAAATCAGGATTAATTTCATTGAACTCAGATGTATTGAAATGGGTTAAACAACGTAAGAACTGGACCCCAAAACGTGGCATTTCTGGTCAGATTGTTTAATGACACCTGCAGATAACAGAGAAGGAACCAGATGGCTCTCGACGGAAGGTCCTCACCAGCCGGCCGGCTCAGCTCCGGTGAGGACAGGCACCGAGTGCCACCAGGCTCCTGCAAAATTCTGGGTTTCCGTGTTTGAAATTCTATTGAAGCCCTGCTTAAGCCCAAGACCACTGACCTGATCATTAGGGATTATTTACATATGCTTTTTTTCCATTAAAAAACAAAAAGACCTTCTGTGACCATCACAGTCCCTAATGTATACAAGTAGACCAGCAAAACAGCTCAGCTTTGAAAGGCTAATGTGGAAGTATCAGGGAATTTCCATGTCCATGTGACAAACTGAACAGTTTCCAGAGTGTTCCCCTGCTCCGCAGCTCATCCATTATGGGAATGAGATGTGAAAATAGTTTCTTGTTTCTTTGAAATATCAGCAGACCCCACAAGCAGTGTTACTTTAAAAATGCCGGAGGTAGTTCATATAGATTTATTCTTAATGAGTGAATATGTGTGGTCTGGCTCAATTACAGAAATAAACCCCTGTATTTAAGGTGTGTGTGTATGTTGAAATAAAGGTACGTGATTACATACCGTGGTGTGGTACCAGGGCTGAGGTGTCAGGAAGGCAGTGATGGGTCAGTTGAGGTTTGCATTTTCATTTTCTTCAAGCATATATATGAAAACCATTTGAAACCATTATTTTATGCGTGCTGTTAGTTTATGTGATTACATGTTTCTAAGTATGTTTTTATTCTTTCCTTATTATCTCCCACTTTTCCTTTGACCTTTCATTCTATCTCAGGTTAAGTCACCGTGTCAGCTCTTTGGGGCAGGATGGCTTTCTGTTTGCTTGAGCAGCGCCCAGACGTCACCAGTGGTTTGCATTATAACGCATACGTGCAGATGTACATACGTATATCTATGTACACATAAAAATAACAGATTGCGGTGACTCTGGTTTCTCTAGAATTCTACGCTGCATTTTGTACTGTATCAAAAAGGCACCATCTGGCTTTCAATTGAAAATATTAAGGAAGAAACAATAATCCCACATGCCAGTGGAAATTTTATCACAATTTAATTCATTATCGAATTTTTTAAAAGGAAGAAGGGGACGAGAATAAAGTGTGTTATTCTTAATTGTCTTTTATGATTAGTTAACATTAGCAATCTACTATGATCTCCACCTCCATGTCCAGTAAAAAGGATACTGTAGACCACATTAAAAAAAAACCAAAACACTTTTGATTTTTATTGAAGTATCTAAAAAAATAAGATTCAATTTCAGTGTGTATTTACATATGGTCATTTTACAGATTTCCTGGTGCGGTGGTTGGAAGACAAACCTCTTTGCTGGTGTTCAGGATTTCACCAAATTTACCATATTTTGAGTTATACATAATAGAGATTTTTAAGTAGTTTTACAGGGACGCAATACTTACTTTTTTCTATAGGCTTCAATTTTAAACAGTCTCTGTTTTTCACATATAATGAAAGTATCATTTATAATTATAAACAGTCCAAACCAGTTATTTATACTGGTTTTTATCTTGAAATGAGGTTTGTTGTGTCTTTTGGGTTTGGTTTATTTACCTTATTGTTCCCTTATCACCCAGAGCCTTTTTTGCAATTGCATTTAAAATGGCAATTTTTTACTTTGAGTGTAATTCTGTTGTTTAGACAAGAGGTTTTTTCATGCAAGTATATAAAGAACTTGCTTTGATGTTCCCCCCAAAGCAGTTTAATGCAGTAATACATGCAATCAAACGTAGGAGCCATCACTGATATGGGGGAGATGTTTTGTCTACAAAGACCTGGGATGAAAATGTATCCTGATAGCAATCCTATTTGCACTGAAAAAGCAGGACTCTCGTTAAAAACCTGGCTCCAGTGAACTTACCTACAGGGACAGAAATGCATCCTCAGTATTGCCTGACCTTCGAGCCTTTGGCTTTTGCCACCCCAGTAGTGCGGCCGTCATAGGACAGCAGGGCTCATCCAGGACAGTGAAGATTCCCAAATTTTCTGTTCCTGTGTTTGGGATGGGAACAAGTAGGCATCTGCATTCCCTAAAACAAGCAGTGAAAGTTTGGCATTGTGGATCTAGGTTGAAACTATTTCAGAAGCAATTTATCTTTACAGGCCATCACTTCTCAGCAAGTTTGTGTGTGTTTTTGAGGAGAAAGCAGGTTTGCTGCACAAGAAATGTAACTGTTGAGTATGGGATGTGCTGGGTATGATGGGGGCCACATCCCAGCTCCGGGATAATGCACAGAATACCGTGTGGGATAATGAGAGCAGAAGCCAGTTTCTGTTCCGTCTCTGACTTGCTGCCTTCCACCTCCCCCTGCCCTGCAAAGCAAAGCCTCTTGCAGCTGCTTGACTCGCTTTTACCTGCTGGGCCGTGCTGGTGTCAAGGGACCATCAGTGCTGCAGACGCAGATGGGGCAGCCCAGGAAGCCCAACTCCAGTCCTGTCTCGCCCATCTCTAGCCCAGCCTAGCCCACCTCTAGCTCCATCTAGCCCATCTCTAGCCCAGGGAGCCCACCTCCAGCTCCATCTAGCCCACCTCTAGCTCCATCTAGCCCATCTCTAGCCCAGGGAGCCCACCTCCAGCCCAGCCTAGCCCACCTCCAGCTCTGTCTAGCCCATCTCTAGCCCAGCCTAGCCCACCTCCAGCTCCATCTAGCCCATCTCTAGCCCAGGGAGCCCACCTCCAGCTCCATCTAGCCCATCTCA